TTCTACATATAACCAAATGCATGTGTCTAATGTCTCATCAGCATCTTAAGTCTCCACCTAAGATTGAGCTGTTTAATATTAAAATGATCCATGGGTCATCTTCAGACCACCTTACCTTTGCATCTTGCTTGCTGGCCTCAGCCAAGTTTTCTCCTAGCCTTCTTCTTTGCCAATTTGTCCTCTTCATATGCTAATTGTACAGCCTTTGCTCTTTAGCTTTCTGGCTCTCCCTCCATGCCTATCTGCCTGCAGAACTTCACTGAATTTGCCTTTCCCCAGGAGCTTCAGTAACTGAGGGGAAAGTGCTGTATTTAGTGATACTGGTTTTCATGTTTATGATACCCCTCCCTGTCCCAGGCATTTGAATGGTATTCATGGCCTGCTGGGGTTTCTACTCAGGAAGATGACTGCTAATTTTTCTTGCTCTCACCTCAATTCTCCTCATGATAAAGAGAATAGCCTCTCTCTCCCTCTCTCTCTCTCTCTCTCTCTCTCTCTCTCTCTCTCTCTCTCTCTCTCTCTGTGTTCCTGGTTCCTGGCATTCTTTGGTGCAAACACTTGTCATGTTTAATTTTGGGTTCTGAAAATAGATGACTCACATTCCATTGTTTCAATGTTGCTTATCAAGTTTCTCTCTCTCTCTCTCTCTCTCTCTCTCTCTCTCTCTCTCTCTCTCTCTCTCTGGCACTATGGAAATAGTGTTTGGTAACTGGAATTTTTTAATGGTGCAAATTTCAACTCTAGAAGCCCCAAGAAGGCAAGCTCAGTCATTCTTTCCCAGTTAAGGTCACAGATAATACTGAAGAGCGGAGGAAAGAAAATTACTCAATGTGGCCACATTGAAAGAAACATGATAAAATGGTCCAGTTGACCCATGTCTATCTTAATGATGCTAATGTGAGATTTAGGTTTAAATATAGGGCAAGAGATTTGCATGACAAAGCTGTTGTGGTCAAAGGATACTTTTGCCTATCACTTCTCCATCTTTGTCTCAGCTCCTGTTCTATAAGGTAAACCTACAGAATGGTCTGATGAGACTGATTTGTTAGTCACTGTCTACACGCTGCCTTCAGGACCTGCCTGGTTTCAGCGAGATGATTATCTATGTTCTAAGACTCAGATTCATCCTCATGGCTAATTGTCCTTATCTGGGGGGGTGGTCTTCCTTGACAGCATTAGTTTCACCTGGAATTTGAGGTGACTACAAACAAAAGGTTGAAGACAAATAATTTACCTCTGTGCATTCAGCCAAAGCATGCACATAAAACAGAATCAGAGGTGCCAGGCTCTCATCTTGCTTCCAGTTTCCTGGTGGATCTAAGCCAGGCTTGAGTGCCTTATACTGAAAGCAGTTTATATAGGTGTTTGCAGTTAGTCTGAGAGCGGGGCAGTGACTACTGTCCAAGATAGCCAAGATGGTGAGCTGAGTACTGCCTATGAGGATTTGGATGAGCTATACAGACTCTATTCACATCTAGTAGAACATGTGTCACGACAGGCAAAGAACAAAGGATCTCTTAGATCATACTATTGACCACATATAGATTCTTGTATGTGACAGGTTGGTCATTTTAAAAGTTATTCTATGACTTAGCTGCTGAAGAGCACATGTATGTGACTGTCTGAGAGGAAGGATGTTGTGACTTGTTTAGGGTCATATTTCCCTATCCTGTGGACTTCCATCCTCCTAACATTGGGCCATAGAAGCATGCAGAAGGGGCTTTCAATGGCTCTGTACTATCCTGGAGCAATATGCAAGCAGCAATAACTTGTATGAAAAACTGCTACTTAGAGAACAAAGAGGTACCAACACATGAACCCATAAACATCCCTACTCTCCTCTAACTCATCCTCTGTCTCTTGATTGATGATCTCCCTTTGGTAGCTTTAGCCTACATTCTCTGTACCTGTATAATTGACTACTAGTTATGTAATCACATAAGACGTGTTTATCCTTCTCTGTGTGTGCATGACGTGTGTGTATGGGCATACACACCACAGCACAGACTTAGAAGTTTGAGAAGAGCTTTATGGAATGGGTTCCCTTCATCTACCTTACGTGGGTTTTCTAGGTTTGTTCCTTGGCAAGTATCTTTACCAACTGGTTATTGTTTCCCTTAAAAAAAAAAAAAGAATGTGGTTGTTGGTTAGAAAGCTAGAGAAAAAGGGCAAGCCATGCCTTCTGCTCAGGTGGCTAGGAGAGAGTCACGTAACAAGTCTCTGAGGCTCTCAAGCTCACATTTTCATGGGCACATTTCTGCATGACCTGAGTCTAGACTAACAGTGTAATCGAGCCTGATACAATAACAAGACACATTGGTAAATTTAAAGTTTACACACACAATTCACCTTCCTACTGAGAAGCACTGTTATATTATTTTTGGCATGTATGCAGGTGATAGTAGCTCCTGATGGGCAGGATAGTCTGATCCCCAATCTCCCTGAAAGAAAGCCTTCCAGCAGGACTTAGAATCATCCAAGCCTAGGTGCAGTCAATAACTGTGCTATGGAGGGTCATATCCCTGCCATTTTCCTTTTGCCCTTACCCTCTTTGAGAATACTGCTGTTTGAGGTTGTTTGTTTGTTTGTTTTGTTTTTCCCAAGATCAGATTTCTCTGTGTAGTTTTGGAATCTGTCCTGGCACTCTCTCTGCAGACAAGGCTGGAGCTCACAGAGATCCACCTGCCTCTGTCTCCTGTGTGTTGGGATTAAAGGTGTGTACCACCACCTCCTGGCTTGTTTGAGTTTAAAGAAGACAGAAGGATGTATTCCAAACTCTTATCATTGACTGATTTGCTTAAATAAGTGACACATTATTCCCAAGTGGAGGCTGCTGGGACAAATTAGTGTCAGTTACTTTGGCCATCCTGCTGCTGGGAAAACATGCTTGCACAGGAGTGCTGAGACTAACTTCTCACAGAATGAAGTGCCATCTGCAAGGACTTTTGATTTTCATTTCATAATACATAGCATTTGCTGGCATAGGACTGTCTAGTGAGCCCTGAGAAAGCTCAACATTCATACACACTAGGAGCTAAATTAAATGGAGAGGGATCTGTGGCTAATCAGCTGTTTATGAATGAAGAGTTCCCTCCCTTCCCTTTGCAGCTTTCTAAGAATGAGGTCAGGGTCAGGATCTAACTGCTTCTGGTTCAGAAATAGCAACACAGCTCCAAATTAATCTGGTGCTATTTGTTGTAGGATGAAAAGCAGAATCCTGCTTGTGTGTTTGTTTCCTATATACCTTTGCAAACAAGCTCTGAACGAACTCATATAAAGAAGTGAAGCAGAGGCAGGCCATCTAAGAGCCAGTCCACTGGTAGCTGGTAGTTGCAGATAGGCTGTGAGAGCTGCCTTGCTTGCCATCGGAATCTTGATTTGAAAAGCAAAGCAGGAGAGAGAAATAGATCCTAGTTGTGTAGTACTCTAACCACTTTTCTTCAGAAAGAAATGCTAGCAGTTGTTAAGAACACTATGTGTTCATTGTATTGTGCCCAGCTATTTTCCACACTATGTAGCAAGCTGGTCATCTCTCTCCTGTGGTTGCATGGAGATTTTGCAGTGTTTTAAATGAGAATTACATGCACATTTTATTGTTTATTGGCATACACAGAAAAAACATAGGAGTATGTGATTTACACATGTATACACACACACACACACACACACACACACACAGACACACACACACACACAACAGCCTGAACATGCCTTGTCTTTGTAGAAGTTGGAGTTAGCTTCTGTCCCATCAACTCATGTCAGCCAGATTTTTGTATGTGGATCTTGGGGAAGACTGGCATTTCTAAGGCTCTTCACTGAAGTCTTTTTAGGATTTGAATATATCTAAAGGGCAGGAGTTGAGCATCAGGCAGGCATTTTGTGTGATGATGATGTTTCATTTCTGATCTCATTCTTAATTGTTGGGTGTTAGGGTCTGTTTTACTGGGAGTATCTTTTATTTGCAGTAATTGTCTCCTCTGTGCAAGATGAAATAAACACATTAGAACATTGAGTGAAGGACAGAAGTGTCAGTAACAGCCTCATCTGCTACGTGTCTATTCAATGGACTTTTATGTGACAGGTGCACATTGAAGGAGATGCCAAAGCTGTCTTTCATATTTGTGATGATTGATTTTGAGTGAGTGCAAAACAACTTAGAGATTGTCATATAACTAACTGGTCAGACGTATTACCTAATTGGCTTATTTGCACATAAGTGGTTTCACTAAATACTTGAGAAATCTTATAAACACACACAGAATTGTGAAAATGTCTATCTATATAGAAGTATTTGTATGTGCACATAACTACTTACACACACACACACACACACACACTCAAGGGACATCTGTAGTAGCAAATGTGTACTTTGCCAATGGTTATTTCTTACATAGAGACAGAAAGCAGGTTAATGACTGTTTGGGGTTGGAGGAGAAAGCAGGGATTATTAATTTCACAAGCATGAAAGATCTTATTGAGATGATAAAAACCTTCTGAAACTGGATCACAGTGGTGTCACATAGGTTGGTAAATTTCTAAAAGGTCATTAAGGAATTATATGCTCAAAATGGGTGTATTTTATAACTCAACAAAGCTGCTAGGAACAATCATTCCCTCTCAGTCCCAGGGTAGGTAGAGGATGAAAAACTACATCCTCCCAAGTCTTTGTACTCATTATTTCCCCTTGAAGTTTATTGACTGATTGATTGCAACTGTAGAGAAGCTGGTCCTTGAGGTGAAAGGGCCAGATTTAAAAACAAAAAAAATATCCAAGGACATGATATGGAAAAGTCTGCCCTGATCCCTGTTGTCAAGGATGCTTCCACTGCTGGGTAAAGAGCCATCATCTGGATTGTCATGGGGCAGTGAGCGCAGGAGATAGGGAAGCAGGTCCCTGGAAATAGTAGGCACTGTGCTTCAATCAGTTGCTGCAGCCAATCAGGAATGCAAACATCCAGGTCTCAGCCCTTAAATAATGGAATGTTTATTTTCTTTTTCAGGTTGTGCTAGTCTTTGCTCTCAGCATTGGTGCCCTTGTAATATACTTCATAGACTCATCAAAGTGAGTATGCATGTATGTTGTCTTGCCATTTTTCTAGGGCATTTGTGACTCTACATTGATGTACTTATTTAACATAGCACTTGCCTTTGCAAGAATTTTCTGAGTGCTGAAGTCATGGGAAAAGGCAGGGTGCTCTGTGCTGCATTTCTGAATGGGAAAAAAGTTCTCTCAGAAGGCTGATTGATTCTGCTGGCATGGGAGGGGGAGGCACTTGGGGACCAAGCCTTCTTGTTGGGTATTTATTTGTAACATGCTGTTTCCTGATGGAGTGTTTGTACTGAAGTAGCCACGAAGTTAAGAAGGTTTTAGTAGGAATTTGGATCCTCTGGGAGGGGATAATAGAGTCTGAGAGATGGGGTTGAGCCATTCTGGTAAGTCATAGGATCTTTTTATCATCCAGGTTTAAGCCATACTGGGTGATAGATTATAAAGCCCTGGTCTAGGATTCCACCTACCAAAGGAATATGTAGCTGAAGCAATGGTCACTGTGTTTCTTCACTTATGGAAGTAAGGAAATGGAATGAGGCTGTTCATGAGGACCCACAGAGGTAGAGGCCTACAGCTGTTTGAGAACTTGCAGAGAACAGTGTTCGGTCAGACACTGGGACTGGCAGTTTAGTGATCTAGTGCTCCAGGGTAAGCATGGTTCACAGGTGGTGAAGACCTTCTGGGAGGCTGAAGAGACCAGTCAGCATGGCGATCCTTAAATCCTGTGCGTACCACTACTGCTTGCATCACTTGTTTCAGCTATCCTGCTGCGATCTCAAAGTTGACACATCTGAAGCACCCTGATCTGGGGATGGATTTGCTTTTCTGTTGGGACACAAACTTGATAGCTCTAGCCAAGGAGAAGTGCCCTCTAACTTGCCATCCTCATTATCACTTTGAGAATGTTTTCCATTCCTCTAATACTAATCCTGGGAGGATCCTAGACTTTGATCCTAGGACAACTGCCTTATATTCCTGTTTGATCAGACTCTTATGCCTTGATTCTAAGCTTAATGCTCTTTTTCCTGTGGCATGGTATGGTGGCAATGTCATGCACTCCTAAATCCTGAATCATCCAGAGTTATCTGATCACCAGCCAGAGGATTTTGTATATTTGGTTCTGGAGGCCAAACTGTCACAATCAATGAAAATAGAAGAAACATGTCTACTCATTCATGTCTGGAATCTGCCAAGCATGAGGCTTCAGAAATTACTTAGCTCACCTCAGACTCAAGGCTGCTCCCTCAACTGTCTTGAGGCATGAGTCCTCTAGATATCTTCAGGGGACAAGACTGTGCATTTTTTTCTTCATCTGCAATCCCCAGTTAAGAACAGGAAGAACATAATTCATCCTGGAAGACTCCAATTGTCTTGTGTGTGAAGGTAAGATCCTTTTCATATTTACCCAGAGATTCTGGACCACATTTGAAGTGAACTGGAACTCTCAAGTCTTTGGTCATTTCCCTCCAATCTCTCTCCATGAGTCATGGGGTGCAATCCCCTACCAAGCCCCTATGCTGGGGCTTGGGAAAGAGGTTCAGACTTATAGTATGTATGCCCCAGAGAGAGCACATACTTATGTGATGGTGAGTATGGACATCTGCTAAAAGGACAGATGTCTCAGCCATGCCTTGCCTTCCTTTGTCCCCCTTTCTGCACCTTTGTATGCTATGGAAATAAAATGTTGCTGGTAAATAGATTTGTATGGTGTACTTTTTTAAATTGTGTCTACTAGGAGACAATCTAAGGCTCTATAGAGTTCGGTTTTCCTTGGGAGTAGATGGCGAATCATTCTATTCTCCTAAATTGATAATCTTCACTGATGCCTCGCCGGTCTCCAGTCCTTGGGGTTAGTCCTGACTTTGCTAAGCCTTGCTGAAGCTGATGCTAGAAGCCCTTAGTGATTCTGGTTCTTTTATGGTCATGCACAGAGTCTGTACCAAGGCTGACCTTCAGTTCTGTTTTTCACCTTCCCTGACAAAAATGCCAGTAATCTTTGCTATGAGATAGTCTTCATTCTCCAAGGGGGCTGGCCAAGCCTTAGCATGGTGTCAGCTTTTCTCTCTTCCTAAACTGAGCAAACTGTGTGGTTTTGTTATACAAACTTTGTTCAGCAAAACACCTGTTACTACATATGTGACTCTACTTTTCAGTCCTACCTCTTCTTCTGGCCCTGAGACCACAGCCTAAGACTCCAACTTACAGAGAATCCATCTTTCCAGTGAGATCAATCAGGCATGCTCAGTTTAAGGAGATGAATTAAAGTAAAATCTATGATGTTACCTTTATGATAAGTCTAGAGACATGGTTGTTAACCTCTGAAGGTCAGTACCCCTTTGGAGTCAAACAATACTTTCACAAGGATCACTTAAGACTATCTTCATATCAGATATTTACATTACAGTTCATAGCAGTGCTAAAATTAGTAATGGGGTATCAATGAAAATTTTATGGTTGGGGTCACCACAATATGAAGAACTGCATTAAAGGGTCGAAGCATTAGGAAGATTGAGAACCACTGGTATAGAAGGTCATAGTCAGAAAACCAAATGCAGTCTATTAATCAAATTCTAATCCAGTTTAGTGAATGAGATGATATGAAACTCTGTCTACATATAAACTACAAATAAAATGAGCATGAGAATGTATAAGGCAAATTCTTGAAGGCTGTCTTTTTCATTCAAAGCAATTACTGACTTAATAGAAATGGCTTGGCTGATCATCTTGGGAAGCAGCTTAAATTTCTCTTAAAAATTATACCAAGTCATTGTCATGGGAAAATATACCTGGTATTCTTGAGGTGAATTTTTATTAGTGTTAACCCTCTACAAATAAATCAGAGCTCTCTGAACTGAGATGGTTCGCAAAATTGATTCTCTCATTACACTTTGCTAGACTTGTCTTCACCCACTTGGTAGATTACAAATCACCCAGTTACAGAAACTCAAGATGCAAAGGTTTCCAGATTTGGCCCTTTGGGAAGTTCAAAGTGGGGTTGGGGTGATGACCCAATGGGTAATAGCATCTACTGAACAAATATAAAGACCTGAGCTCATGCTACCAAAACGTTCCTGAAAAGCTGGGCATGGTCCTCTGTGCCTTATCTCTAGAGCTTTGGGAGATGGAGACAGATGCCATCTTAGCTCCGGGCTTGGTAAGAGACCTTGCTTTAAAAGAGTAAGTTGGAGGGTGAGAAAGCAGGGCACATGACATTCTTTTCTGATTTGTGCTTGCATGTGTGTCACATGTGCATACACCACACATATAGAAAAGATTTGAAAGATTTAAAAAGTGAACTGCAAAGGATGCAGCCCAGCAAATGAAACTGGTCCCAGGGGTGGTCTCAGCCAGCTGTTCTCAGAGGGGCTGAGGTAGACTTTGCATGTGGGCAAGCAAAGTGGATGCTTATTCTACCTCAACAAGTCAGCAGAAAGGCAACTCAGTTAAATAATTTGTGGGTGTAATTGTATGGCAATTGGCAATCTTCCTCACCTTTCAAAATTTACTTGACTACAGTATTTCCACACATCTTTGCTCAAATTTTGGTCCTTAATGAGAAACAGACAGATCCCTGAGTGGGTCTTCTTCAGGGATGTGTTTGAGAACCCCTCTTTTGAATCTTCATTTTCCACACATGATCTCTATGGGAAGAATCTTTTGGGTCATTTTCAGTGATTACCATCTAGCTAAGAAATATTGTCCTGAAGCCAACACATAAAGAGAATCACGCTAAAGATGGGTCCAATGGAAGACACTGGGATGACTCAAACAAAAAGGGTGTTATAGCAAAACTTAGTTAGGATGGATATAATATGGATGCCTTCATGAGACCTGCAATCCCATCCTTCAAAGGTTCATGATCTCCAAATTTCCCACCTCCTAACTCTGACCTCTCCTGGGTATCTTTATGTATTCTTTCTTCTATGTACCCTGATTTCTATAAAGCAAAGACTTAAAAATATATAACCAGGGGTCAGAGAGACATCTCAGCTAGTAAAGGCATCCACTACATAAACCTGACAACTGAAATTAGATTCTTGGGCCCCACATTAAAAAGATGGATTTAGTGGCGTGGTTCTGTAAAACTAGCACTCCTATGGTGAGATGGGAGGCAGAGACAAGAGAATCCTCTAGAAGCACATGGGCCAATTGACCTAGGGTATACAGACAAGCATAGCATCAGACAAGAGAAACTCTTTCTGAATATAATGGAAGGTGACAACATACTCCTGAGAATTTTCCTTTGACCCTACACTGTGCTGTGGCACATATATGTCCATATTTACACACATGTCATACACACACAAACATATTCACACACTGAATAATTTTTTAAATGGCACTATCAAGTCAATTGTGCCGTTCACTGCCCTATTATTGTCAATGTCACTGTTGCTTGCTCTACTCCTCTCCTTGTCACCAGACCTGGAATAGATAAATAGTAGGGAAACCTCATGATGTCATCACTATGGGAAGGACCCATGAATGGCATAAAGCAGCAGTCCCCACTGCTCCCATAATTTTAAGGGAAAATTGGAAGAAACAGTAGCTCTCAAAGCTCTGTGCATTAGTTTTGTTTCCAGAGGCATTCTGGGAAAGGATGACTCACTTGTGGGGAGATATTTATTCCTTTGATTCATGCTTATACTTCAGTTACATGGATTATGAATATTTAATGCTGCATATACTGGAAATGAAGGTCAGGTCCTGCTCACTGGCGACTTCAAAGCAGCCTCACTTCTGAAAGGCATACCACCTGCTGTTAGCAGAGTGAAGCAGAAAGGTTATGCATTGTTAAACTCTTCTGTAATGACTCCAGCTGCACCAAAATGGGTGGTGCACAGTTGGGGATGCCTGCTGGCTTTGCCAGCTTTTGCTCTTGGCTTCTGGTTTGAGCCCTGCTATTTGAGTGAGATGGACATTAGGAGGGAACCACAGTACTGATTTTGTAGTGCATCCTATCCAAGTGCTCCATTGCCTAAGCCCTCTTCTTGGTCTTTATAAATTTCATT